ATAGGTATGGCTGTGAAAATGCTAGATCTTTGGCCGTGAAACTGTGCCAAAGATCTGTGCCATTTCATGTTCACGACCATATTCACAGCTAGATGTAGCCGTTTTTTGAAGATCCATGACCGAATTAAGCCATACCGATCACGACCAGCCAGATCCGGCCGGTCCTGCATCATTACGATGGCTGTCGACAGTGGCGGCTGACTGCCAACAGTGGCTTGGGGTGGATGAGGGTGATTTTGCTATAAATTAAAGTTTTATATGGTTGGGGTGTTTTAGCAAAATTTCAAATATAGGGGATTAAAAAGAAATAATTTAAACAATAATAGAATAAAATAATAATATATTATTATTTAAAAAGGAGAGCAATTTAGTAATCTACATAATATACCCATTCATTTATCCTCCCAACCAAACATATTATTATAACATACCCACCAATTTATTCTAACCAACTAAACACATTCTTTTAAAGATTCCCTAATAATCTATCTTTCCAGTAACATAACATTCCTCAATAATATAACATTCCCTGAACTAAACGCACCCTAAGAGTAAACGACTTTCTCCCACCCAAATAATAGCCAACGACACTTTCTTAGTTATAGACTTTTAAAATACCGCTTTGCTACTCAAACTTCATAATATTTAAAACTCATCGACACCAGACATTCAACTCACTGGCTTCCCCCCACCAAAACCCCTTTCACCCCCATCCACAATCACTCCCATCTTCTTCTTCTTCTTCTTCTTCATCTCCCTTCCTCCAATTGCGACTACCTTAATTTTTTGTGTTGCCGGTCGATTCGACATTGTTGCGACTCCACGACACCACCGTCTTGTTCTCCGTGCCTCCCTCATCAAAACCCATCTTCTAGTGACCACCAAAATCCGACTTTCCACTACCATTTGAATCTCCAGCCATCCCTCTTCAGTATCCCCAACAATCTGGACCGCGATAGCTCTTCAATCACCGAAAAAGATCGTTTCAAAATCGGCAGGGAAAAGTTAGCTGGGTGGGGAACTTTAACGAATAGGTGGTGTGCAGGCTGCGTTGGGGGGTGAACGACAGTGACTGGTAAGGTTAATCTGGCCACAACAAACACAAGAACACTCCAAATAAACAACCAAACAACACCTAAACTTAAAAAAAAAAAACTCCAAACTACTCCATCAACATCAAACAAACAAATCATAGCAAGAAAATCCCAAAAAACAAAACAATAACCACGACGCTGCAGGTGGTAACGATGAGCAAGGGTGGTCAATACATGGGTGGGTTTTGAATAGCAAGTGATGAGATTGTTGATGATGATCTCAACATCAATTTTCAACGTCAAGCACGACTGCTATTATATGAACGAACGAAGGCTTGAAACATGAAAAGTGGGATGGAGGATAGGCGAAAGAATTGAAACTTAAAAAAAAAAAAGTAACAAGGAAAGGAAGCAAAAAGAAAAGGATTATGAAGTGTTGTTTTGCATTGACTAAATGTTTTTTGGCCGTTTCTCCTACCGCCGATGACTCACCAATCTTTGTTTTGCCGGCAATGTCACTAGAATCAGGTGTCATTTTCTAATTAACAATCCTATCCTTACTTATAATGGACTTTTGACCATTTTATCCTTTTTCACAACAAAATTTACTAAATGAAATTGTGAATTTTATACATGGTCTTATAAGTAAATTTCCCATAGAATAATATGTGCAATTGATGTGTCACATGACTGTATTTGGGTCCACTATATTAACCCCCTGTTTGGTACACTTTTCAAACTCTATCATATCCTACTATCCTATCCAATCTAGTGAAATACATATTTGTTTTAATATTGACTATTTTATTCAAAATCCAATCTTATTATATTCAACTCAAAACATTTAACAATTACCTTTCTCAATAAAAATTTATAAATTAACAAAAACACTCCCGCTTACCCAACTATTGCCGGCAGCCGGCTACCACCATCGGACGGTGGCTGGAAGTCGTCGGAATGGCGTAAGACCGGTTGGATTTGGCCAGTTGTGCGTCGATATGGTTGTTTCTGGCTAGATCTATGACCAAAGATTTGACTATTGACGATGACCATATCTTGGTCGTCGTTGACAGTGAAGATATGACCATCGTCAATGGCTAGATTTGGCAGTAGATCTGGCCATATCTGGCGGTAGATTTGACCATTTTCGGCCAGATCGGCGCACGATCGACCAGATCCAGTCGGTTGTGTGCCATTTCGACAACTTCCGCCACCATTCGACAGTGCTAGCCGGTTGCAGACAATAGTTGGATGGATGAGGGTATTTTTGTTAATTTATAAACTTTTATTGTGAGGGGTGTTTAGTTAAATCAGCGAATGTAGGGGTTAAAAATAATCTAAATTTGTTCAGAAATTTTTTCAAAAAATGTACCCAACACATTCTCAAAATCCTATCCTATTTGATTAAATCCTATTTAGAATAAAATACTATTATAAAAACTTAAACAAATGGAGCCTTAAGTGATTGCTTAAGCCAATTACCCGATCTATCAGGCCAATAACCTTGTTGAAATATTTAGTCGTGGAATCAGAGGTATCAATATAAGTGGTTGTTCATTTCCAATTTCCTTTTCGTTTTCTCCATTTTTTTTCATGGGAGAATGAGTAAGTCTTTTTTTTTTTTTTTTTTTTTTCCAAAATACAAAAATGGATAAGATGGTGAATCACAAAATGGCATAAAATCTGAATTCTCATAAAACACTCCTGGAGTGTTTTGCCAAAATCTTTCTCCAGCTTCATGTCACTTCATAAATAAATATTGTTTTAAGCTTATTTTATTAAGAGTAAACGACTTATTTTCACTTAAGGTTTAGCGAAATCACAGGTTGGTATCCTTGGTTTCAAAAATTCTGAATTCCCACCTTTAAATGAACACTGTTACCTTTTTTTTTTTTTTAACGTTAAATGCTAAATGGTCATTTCGGCAACCTGCATTTTTGCACGACTTCCATTGTCCTCAACCAGTTTTTGGGCATTTCTGTCATTGGAAATCTATCCCTCATCATCCCCTCTTTAAAACCCATATCTCCTTGTCGCTTGATCACTCACCATTTGCCGAAAAAGCCCATTGCTTTTTCGCGCAACAGAAATCTTCACCGCCACCACCATTTAAACCCCATCTATCTGCTCTACAAAACCCTTGCCTCCTTTTGCCTCACTTGCTCACTGATTGACGGTTACGACTACCTCTTTTCGCCAAGGGACAGTCGCTTTTTGCAACTTTTTTGATTTATTTTTTCGCAACCTTCGGTTCAGGTCAATTTGGCCTGATTCCGACGTCGTTGTTTTGATCAGTTGTTTTGGTGAGGGCTAGTTGGTGGATACAAAGGTGGTCTTAGTGACTGGGTGTTCGTTGAGGTAAATTCTCAAACACCTGGTGTGTATACAAAGGGACGGGATGGTGAGTCGCCGGTAGGAGGAAATCAGCCAGAAAAAAACACCTAAACAACAATAAACACTTCAAAACAATAACCAACTCCAAAGACACAACCAATTCACCCAATCAAGTCCATAAAAACTCCAATTTAAACCCAAACTCACAAAAAAACCCACAAGAAACCCTAGAAGAGGTTATTGGGGATCAAAGAGCTAACACGGTTTGGGTTGTTGGGGCTTTTGAAGAGGAGAGGCCAGTGAGTCCATGGGTGGTGAGAGGGTGGATTTTGGAGCTGGAAAACCACTGGAATCAGACCTAATAGACTGCGACTGCAAAAACTTGTGGTGGTCGATGAACGACAGCAACACACAGTCGGAGATGAGAGGGGCTTTGGAGAGATTGATGAGAGGATCCTGATAGTGGGGTTGAATTGGTCAATTAGCGGCGGAATTAGGCTAGATCAAGCCTTAATTGCGGTTGAGTGTGTTTGCTGGGTAGTGGAGGTGGCCAGATGGTGATGGTGATGGTGGTTGGGTGGGGTGAATTCAAAAGTCAAGGGCAGTATGGTAATAGCACAAGTCAAAAGTCAAAATTCATTAACAATGTTAGTTTAAGGGTGTGAATCTAGAATAAATGCAACTAAGAGTATGAATTTGGGATTTTGCTAAACCTGGGTTGGAAACATTTCATTTGCTTTTTTTTATAAACATGATTAAAAGAAAAAATAAATACATTAAAAGGATTTGTTTTTTAATTTTTTTGCTTGATATTTTATTAAGATTTTTTTTTCTGCTTTATTTTGTTAAGCTATCTGAACAATTATGGGGTAATTGGGTACCAATAAGATTAAACGACTTTTTCCTACCCAAGGTTTGCCTTAATGACACTTTTCCACCCAAAAATTTTCAAAATACCACTTTCTTACCCAATATTTATATTCTGTTAATATCGAAATACACTTTACTTTCTCAACCGGTGTTCGGCAAGTTATTAGGAGTCAGGATAAAAGGGTTTTTATAGAGTAGATGTCGGTATATCAAATGGTGATGACTGATTAAATATTCGCTATCGGAGTTAGTTGGAATTAACTAAGAACAAGAAACCCTAATTTTGCAGTGGTCGACAATTGACAAGAAATTAAGTGTCGGAGTGAAAGAGGTTTTGTAAAGATGATACCAAATGTTCAAATGGTAGTGACAGATCAAATTTTCACCGTCAGAATCGACTAAAATCGGTTTTGGGTAATAACAGAATATTAACTTTAAATAGGAAAGTGGTATTTTGAAACTTTTAAGGTGTGAAAGTGTCATTAAGGCAAACCTTGAGGGGGAAAAATTCGTTTACTCTATCAATAACAATAAACTTCCCTCTTACTTTGTCATACCATTAGCCATAAGGACAGCCTTGGCTAATGGCTTGGATTTACTAGGGTTCCAGTATGAATTAAAAAAATATTTATTTAGTCTACTTTAGTTGAACATTGTATCTCTTGATTTTATTTATTATAACATGAATTAAGGTAATAGAGAAATTATTGTTAGAATTCATCCTCAGAAAAAGCAACTGGTTTTACATGCTATAGAGAAATCTGGTTTTAAAAATCTGAAAATCATCATTGTCAATAAGCCTATTCATTCACAAGGCTGCCGTTGATAGTATGGACAATTAATTTGAAAATAATTAATTGTAGTCAAGCCAAGGAAAAAAGAATAGCTCCAATTGTTTCAACACACACTGCTTTGCACGCATAAACTAGAAACAGTTTATTTGTTCCAGAAGCATCAATTCACACATGGTATTATGCCTTGCCGCTACTTCTCCATCTTCATTCTCCTGCTTCAAATCTGTCACACTTGAGTTTATCAGATATTCTAGTCAACCATCTCTGTCAACATACAGTTGAAGTAACCACTAAGCATTAACACAACCTTCCAGAGGAAGAGGGCTATAAAAACTTATTTAGGTGGAAATTTAGATAATGAAAAAGAATTCATTTCAATATATATCCCTCAACTATATCTTATTATCTCATCATTCAAGGAAGAATTTAAATACAACTCACAAGGATAAATAATATTACAACTATCTTAATTCAACTACTAATATAGCTATCTATATATTTATATTCATCAATGATGATCTAGAACAGAATGCTTAAGTATGAGCTGGGTTAAGTAATTCAATGGATTTCACTCTAAAACTGCTGCCACTCACTTTGCTAAGAAACTTGACACGAGAAAGATGAGATGTCCTTGAACCATAAAGATAAAGAGTTTATTTCTAAATCAACTGTAAAGTTGATAGCTAATTTACTACAATGTAGAGCCTAATTTCAACCCACTAGGGAGAAATAGTTATTAGTTTTGAATCATTTTCTATTTATCTATTTCTCTTTCATCATCCTAACTAATGCTACGCTGAGTCTGCTCTCGCTTAGAACAAGAAAGTGGAGAATCAAAATTAATTTTTAATAGAGTAAACTATTGACCTGCATGCCATCTGATTTAAGTGTTTGTTAAAAAAATTTAAATTTTAAATATTACTTTTTGCATTAAGATATTCATTTATATAGTAGCAATGTGATAATCTCTTATTTCTTAAATCTAAATAGATTTAAGATAGAAGTGACAAACCCTAAAACAAACTAAATCTAGTTAATCCATATTAGAGAAGCTTCTATCTTTCTGGTGTGGTATCCTCTTCTCTTTCCCCAAGTTTGAAATTGGAGTTTCAATTTCAAAAGGAATACATGAACATGCAAGGTTTATTAGGAAGGTAGAAAAAGTGAAAATTTATGGAACAGAACAGATGAAAGAGGTATCAAGCAATTATTCTTTTAAATCCTATCTAAACTGGATGTTAACTGATCCCCCAACTGCTGAATCAAACCTTCTAAGATGGTTTGAAAGGCTAAATTCCTCCCAAAGTACAAGTGTTTGTGTCTTTAGCTCAAGTAAAAATTAAGCCAGAGAAACTATCCTTGGATGAATATTTCTCCCTCTTGGTGTGTGATGTGTACAAGTGTTGAGACCTCTAATCATCTATTCCTTCTCCGTTCAATGACTTCAAATTTATGAACAAGAGCTTGTTTCCTAAATTCTTTTGATGCCTTGGAAGTGGCATAAAAGCAATAGTGATTTATGAGAACTAAATCGCCTTTATTCTTGGTTTTGTTGCCTTTGTATAGTTTTGTGGTCTATTTTACAGTAGAGGGATGATATTACTCACTAGAAATAAGTGTATGCATTTGTTTTTCCCTCTACTACTAGTTTTTTTGATTCTTTGCTCACCTTTTACTAATCTAACACAAGGTTTATAGTTTCTTATAATTAAACATGGAATCCAACTTATATTTTTGTAGAAATTTCACCAAGTAGAGAATATAATGGTCAAACAACAAAGCAGTGTATGTAACTTAAAACTCTAACATCTAAATTCATTTTATTGTATACAACTCTTCAATGCAAAGACGTGTCTAGAATCTTATATATCGATTATTCCACATTTAAATCTGATATAAAGAGAACCCCTTTTTATAAAAATTGCATGGATTTAGAAATCAATGACTTTACACAGATGATTGCATATCATATATACCACAGAACTGCATCAAAATTTTCCTGTTGGATTGGACTCAGTTAACAACGAATCAAGTTCATAATACTCTCTCTTAACACACATGCATCAAGGGAGGACATATGCTAAGTTGAAAACTAAGAATAAAAGAAAAGAAAAGAATCTGAAGGCGGGATGCGTCGGACAATGTTACATCTTAATTTATTTATAAGAAATAAGAATTCAGCAAACTAACTTAGATTTAAATATGAGTGTTAGGTTCTAGTGACTTGAAAATGAGATAAAATCTACCCATCTTTTATCTATTTTAATCCAATAATATATAGAGATAATAATTATAACTTCTCTTTTTATTATAATTAATTAGATTGTAGGGTATTTAAGATACCAAACCAATGTTTCTAGGCATTTAACTCCAAGATAAAGAGAAAATCACAACTAGTGTAGTTTAATAGAACAGTAGGCATTTAGGGAGGGAGTGTACGTGTGCATGGGTTGAATAAAACTTTATGTTCTAACAACTAAAAACCCTAACTAACGCCAACGCTTGCTAGAATCCGACAGTGCGCCGAATGATTGCCATGTGGTTGAGGCAGAAAATTAATTGGGATTCTAAAGCTTCCAAAGTCCCACCTTTTAAAGTGAGTGACTAACACATGGCTCAGCCTCATAGAAGCTAACAGCTGGCATGGACTCACAGGTGTTAGGGAGAAGGGAACCATTAAGAGAACGAAAAAGGAGATAACCAGCCGATTCCTATTCACACCAATCCATGCAGGAATCCAAATATAATACGTGACACCCATAAAATCTCTGTCCGATGGTTTAACTTGTTTATGGTTACCAAGAAAGCGAAAAAAAAAAAAAAAAACCATTTCATGGTAATATGCGCAACACATAAATCCAAAAAGCTAAATCCATTTCAGGTCAAAAATGCCCATCAAAATTAAAACTGAAATTGAAATGTTACAAATCAAATACTTACCAGAATGAAGACGTTGGCAATAGAAATCATCAATTCTTGCCTTTCCCTTTGTGGTCTGAATGCCTACTTCCATCTCCATAGTAAAGGTGCAAGCGGCCATCAAACCCAGCTGGGAACTGGTGATGTTGATGAGAATTCTCCACAGCTGGTGGTGTAGTACCAATAAAGAAAGGTACATTTGATCCGTCTATAGAAGAAGTACCAAACCTCTGAATGTGAGGCACAAGAGACGGTGACGAATTGGACTGAAGGGTCCCCCTATTGAAACCAGAAAGGCCGGGAGAGATTGTGAAGTTGAGATTGTAGTCGCCCCCAGGCCCCGCTTGGGTGGTTGTGACTGGGATCATATTGTCTGTAACAAATGGAAAGTGCTGCTGCATTTCTTGATTGTTTTCATTTGATAAACCAAATGATGGGATTGACATTGCCTGAATTTGTCCTGAAAAATTATGTTGACGAGAAGAAGATGGCCCCATCAGCCCTGTGTTAAAGTAGTCCATGGAGGTTGCAGACCATGGTCTTGCTGTTGTTGCCTTGTGAAAGAAAGGCTCACCACTGGGGTCTTGATGGGGGGCCGTAGGACTATTGTTGTTGTTGACATTGCCAATACCACAGGTGAGTAACTCAGTGAATGAACTTTGTGAGATGGGATTTGTATTCACATGATGATGTGAAATCCGAGACTCATTCTCCTTCACCTTCTCCTTTGCAGCTGATCTTCCTTTTGCTCTTTCACGAGAAACTTTCACTCTATTCACCCGGATTTCAGATCGTGAGAGAGACAAACCTGAGCCTTTGCTTGTCTCAGAGTTACTGCTACAGGCAGATTTACTTAAGGAACGATGCTGGCTCTGATTCTGCTGACAATTTGGATCACCATCTAATTCAACTGAATCAAACCCTTGTTGATCAGTGCCTTCACTTGCCCTCTTTTCATCGCTCAATTGCTTTGGTGTATCAGGAAAAGAACTATTAAGAGAAGGGAGCTCTGAAATCGCATCGGCAGCAGCTTTGATCAACCATTCAACAGCTTTACTAGGCTGATCATAACCCAGCCGATCTTGTAAATCGTAGAATTGAATAGCAGTGGTAACAGATAACCGAACTCTCCGGTCTCGAAGCCCTTTTGAAGTCCAAACTTTGCTGTGGCGATCTTTGCCCCCAGAGGCTCGAGAAACTCTAATGATCCGCGATGAGTGGTGCCATCCTCGAAGCCGATTCGCACCAGTACCATTATTATCATCATCACCTAGACCAGCAGTAGTACCAGCAGTAGCCCTCTTTAGCTGATGCTGCTGCTCTCCATCTTCTTCATCATCTAGGTATTGGTCTTTTTGACCTATCTTGCTAGAGTCAATTCTTCCATTTCCGATTCTTGGGAACTTACACGGTTGTATTTGAATCTCCTCCACCTCCATAACACTTTCATGCCTTTTTCTCTCAACCAAAGCAACTCTAAACGGAGACCCTTTAGCCTTTGTTTTCTTTCTTTTTCTTCTTTAATATCTGTTGTACTTTGACAGATAGAGAGAGAAAGTGGGTTTTTTTTAGAGAGAGAAAATAGAGGTTATGATGGTAGGAAGAGAGTAGTGCAGGTGGGGTTGCTGTGTCCTATGCATTGATGACGATAATACAGAGAAGTACTGTGGGTGTGTAGTGATAAAAAGGCCTCTTTTTACGCTTCGATATATCATGGTCTAAGTCAGGAGGCTAAGCTTAGCCCACCGCCTCTCTTTGTTAAAGCTTTTTGCAGTTGCATTGCAGTGCCCTTCAAAAGCAAAGCCTGAAAATTCTGCAGCCTGCAAAAACAACCCACAAAGAAAAAACTAGTAAGAGAGAGAAAGTTCAAATTTAAAAAAAAAAAAAAAAAAAAGGAATCTGATACTAAATACGTACACATTCAACTGCTTTTAACTCTTTAACTACTCATAAACTATAACCATTTACATAGTTAAGATCTGACTCTTCCCTGTTGTTGCTATTGTGAAACAGTCATATTCATATAGCTAGTCAAAGCCCCTAAAACCTAATAAAGGTTCTTAAAGATGATAAGCTTTAACAAAAGTTGCAATAAAAGACTCTTATTATACTGACTTTGATCTGATTAAGTTAAACAAGAAGCAGTAATTGCATACGATTAGCCGATCTGAGCAAACCCTTTTTTTTTTTTCTTTTTCTTTTTCTTCTTTCTTGGTATTTAAAGCTCTCTTCTGACCCTAAAAAATGGCAGACCTTCACTAACACAGCTATTAAGCTGATAAATGACAAAAATCATTAATTAAAGTCTGTTCCTAGTTCACCAACAAGGAATAAAATTAAAATATTAATTTCAACTTGCTTACTCTGGACAATGGTTACTAATGTAATGTTGTTACAGGTGTCAAGCTCCCAGATGGTGAACGAGGCAAGACATAAATTGTGATTCTTTTTCTTGGTTCTTTTGCTCGTTTCTCTGATTGTCGCTCGCAGATCTTGTTTCTTTTGAAGAAATAATTGCAGTTTGATGTTAGAACCCCAAAGCTCACAGATCTGTAATCTTGAGCTCCTTAAAGAAGATGATTATGGCTGCACAGATCAGCTTCTGTGAGCGAAAACAACAAATCCGACAAAATCCCACGTATTTATTTTCATACTAATGTCTATAAGTACTAAATAAACTATATTTACAGCAAAAACTAAACATAAATATATACATAATTATGTTTAGTTATTGTTTAACCTGTATTTTTTCCACTCATTGTAAAGAAAATAAACTTCCCAGATCAGCTCATGAATCACAGAGCTTAAAAATGAAAAGAAAAAAAAATTAACATTTTTTCGCAGTACAAGTAGTGATGAAGAGCAATATATAGAGAATAAAATTAAAATAAATAAAATAAAAATTATCCTTATGGGGATTTTGGGTGAGAATTCTGCAAGTTTGAACCAAAACAACAAATATATATATATATATATATATATATTTGAATTCTCTCTCAAAAAGACTTATTTTCTTTTTCTTTCAGCTTCTACAAGTATGGAACTGAAAATGGAAAAAAAGGGAAAATTTGCGGAGGTGTATTGAAAAAGAAGATTTGACACTTACATTACATGTGATGTGTAGAGTTGTCTGGAGTGGAGTGAGAGAAATTGGAATTGAGAGAAATTGGAAGAAAGAAGGAGTGAAGGTTTCAAAGTGAGTGAAGAGAGAAAAGGGGTTTTCTTTGTTTCTTCATCTTCATTCGAGCAAATAACCGGGCTTATCGGGAAAGGACAGACACTGCGCCGTTCCCCACCCTTTAATATATCTTCCCTTATCAATATTCTACCCTTCTTTCTCTTTTTATTTCTTATTTGCCCTTTTCTTTTTTTTTTTTTTTTTTTTTTTAATTAAAAAAATACATGCCTTTCGGATAGATAGTACCGCAGATCCGGATTTATCTTTTTAAGACACACGGATCTAGCAAGAGCCATGAGCTAAGGAGGGGGCAACTAGAGAAAAAAAATATATATATATAAATATTGATTTTGTTTCTTTCAAATCTATATGCCTTAGTTAAGGTGAGAGTTCAATTTAGTTGCATACATACATACATACATACATACATATTTGGCAATTTATAGTGGCAACCTAAGTATTCAGTTTCTATTACATTAAAATCTCAATTAAGTGTTATATTATGAAGGGTTATATTGAGAGGTTTACCATATATAAGAATCAATCGGAAAAATCAAGTGAATTGGGACTTTGTGTTTAATTGATTTCCAAGTAAAATCATTGCTTACAGCTGCCACCCAACAATAGCTACTTGTGAAGTACTGTACTATTATGGGAGATACATAAAAATCAAGTCTTTAATAACTTAAATCGCTACTTGTGAAGTACTGTACTATTATGGGAGATACATAAAAATCAAGTCTTTAATAACTTAAATCTTAGGCATGTTAAGGGGTTATGGTTATGGTCATGTACTAGTTGAGGACTTAAGACTGATCGACTTAATCCTCAAATATTGCCACTTCGACATAGACCTAAAGGTATAACCATCCCGTGGCCTATTACCAAGATTTCGACCTTGAATTTCGTGTTTGGGCCGAGTAGGGCCTGTGCTTAAGGAAAGTTGTCAAATTTTACTTGAATCTCATGAGATCATCAATTTTGGGCCCTTTTGGAATTCTTATTTTGTATCCAATTCCAACGCCTTTAGTATCAACAATTTTAATGGTACCATTGTAATTATAGATATAAACAAGGTTTGATAGGAAGAATATGATTAAAAGAAGAGCACCAAGGAAATAAAGGGTCTTTTCCACCACGCAAATGTCAAGTTGAGAACTCACTCACTCTTCCAATTAAATCTCAAACTTTTAGAAAAGATTTAATTAAAGAAACACATTAATAATTTAATTAATATCCGTACAAGTGATGATGTGTTCCTTTACCTTATCTATTTAATATAATTAATTAGTTATGGAAGATGACTCTTTTTTGATGGCCCATGTAGCAGCAAAATCCCACTATGATCCCTTTCTTGCCCAACAACAACATACCAATAATGTGCCCACTAAACCTTTTTTTTTTTTTTTTTTTTCCCTAAATTTTAGTATGAAATACCCGGACTTTATTATTAAAAAATAAAGAAATAATATTTCATAAATAATTTAGAATTAGAAACTTAAACTAGCTTGTGACAATCTATAATTATAAAAAACTTAAAATATAAAATGTCTAGCTGGCTAGTCCCAGGCCTTCGACAACATCGGTGGTCAACAAATGTTGTCAGGTGGTCTTAAAATGACTGACTTGCGACGATCTATAAGAATTTGGTGAAATCATTGGATTTTGACGTACCATTTAGCTGCAAGTTGCAATCGAATATCATGTTGTCTCCTAACTCGAAATGGCAGCTTGAAATCTAGTGATTTCATTGGATTCTTATAGATCAACATAAGCCGGCCATCTTAAGACTAATTATGTCCCCGACGTGCGACGATGTTGTTTGCCAATCGCTAACACCTGTGATGTCATGAGTGGCCACTACCGTTGACCGATTTCAATTTATTAACTTTATAACAAAATTAGTAATTGACATTTTTATTTAATGTGTGACAGTGAGGGGATTTAAACTCCTTCCTTTTTTTTATAAAGACTTTTTCACTTAAATTTCATTGAAAACAAACTCAAATATAAAATTGACAAGGAAAGTGAAAAGAAAATGTTACGCTCTTTTATATTAAGAGAAGTCTAATGGAGTCTGTGAGAGGGGTGTTAAGTGATGATTTTCTTTAATTTTTAAATTCAAAGATGAGTTTGATTGAAATTACAAAAGTTAATCCCGAGGGGTTGGCCTAGTGGTCAAGGAGGTGTACTCATTTCTTTGACTTCCGAGGTTTAAACCTTAAGGTTATCTAAATCAATACATAATTGTGTCTTATGTTAATAAACGAGGCAATAAAGAAATGTAACTGAGTTTTAGGGAAAATGAAGTCGTGCCTTTACTAAAGTGTTACTGTTCTTTATATACAGCACAGTAGCTCAATTACTAATTGAGCTTAAGAGTGAGCTAACTAACTCATTCTAAACTAACTAAGCTAAGCAAGAATAAATTACATTAATTGTTAGTATATGCCCTAGGAACCAATCGTGTTGTCGGTTTCAGGACATTATATCTTGTAAATGTATTATGAATAAAAGAAAGTGTTCTTATTTCACATGTTGATTTACTGCTTCATTTATATTATATTTAATATTGCATGTGAAATGTCCGGATGACACGGATCTTTAGAAGATCAAATCATCAAAGAATTCCCTATGCAAGTAATGTTAATTGGGCAATAACATTGCATAGTAGGCATGCTAAATGTCTCCATTGAATATCATGTGATGGTATTAGTGTGGGTGATTATAAGAGGTATGTCACTAAGACATTAGCATGGATAAACGGTTAGTGAACTGTTTATCGAAAACAACCAATTACGATGAATCACATGGATGTGGTCATTGATGCATCGTAGGATCGTGCTAGTGTACCACTAATCCTTAGACTTGAGACATCACGGCTAGAATCAACATAGGATGCATATGGTTCATATGGTTTATAAGCACGAGACTAGTTATGTCATGTGTAATAAGCCGATTTGGTCATATGTTGTTCAAGTGCGAGGACAAGTGATGTCAAGATGGGATTCGTTAACTCAAAATAGTCCAATCTCGAATTCTCACACGAATGTCAATACACATTGGAAAAAGGAAATCTGTAGCCAGGGTATAATGAAGGTCATATGAAACATAGTTTCATGTTGACGAGTTCCATTGTATCGATTGATAATTCGATTAAAGATTAAGTTAAGGGTTTTGACATACCATAAAACATTCTTAATCGGGATTAGATAACGAAGGGATTTTACTACACGGTACGTATGATTAGAATAGGTTCATTGGAGTTTACACTTCATTGTGGTTTAGGGGTTATAAAACATTGCTAAACGTCTACCATAATCAGTGGGAGTTTCGATTATAAATAGTTATAACGAAACATATCAGAATCTGATATTGGGTTCACGACTAGATCACAGTGAACCAAAATGGTCACACATAAAACCAAGCTCAAGAAGAGAGAGTAATACATATCATTGATCGGATTAATGATGTTCAGACGTAAACAGTTGCATCCGAAATAGTGTATTGGTGAGAAATGATTATCCATGGATAGCTAGTACTAACCAAGGGTAATAAGGATTTATTAAATATTATTATTGAATTGGATTCGATGATGGGGACAAAACTGCATTGGTTTTATTCTAAAGAGTTAGAATAATTAATAGGATTAAAATTGGGCTAATTATGAATTAACCATAAAACCAAGGACTTGACATAAATGCTCTTTCCCAAGATTAATTTTAAATTGTTTGAGGACTTCCCAAGACAATTTAAAATTACACTTTGTGCCCATGGTATATAAACAAGGTGTTATACCATTTTCATTCAACTGAATCATTTGAAACAAAAATCACTCTCTCATTTTCTCTCCTACTCTCTCGGCTCTCTCTTCCTTGACTTGTGTGGATCACATTTTGAGGTTCTTTAAGTTCACTTGAAGAACTAAGATTCCAAGAAAGAAGATTCAAGTGTTGAATAGCAAAGGAGTTGGTAATTTTCTATCCTTTTCTTACATTAATAAGTTAATGTTTTAATGGTTTGTTTTGATGATGAGAATCCTAACCCATCATGCCAATCACAATTGCTAGGGATTTCATTGAAGACTCAAGGACAACATGGAGATCAACATTCGGCCCAAGCATCCCAAGCACTCAAGGAAGTTCACAAAATTGTCCAAGAGGTCTTAAGGTTCCAAGGCACGGCTCAAGCCCAATTTTGTGACCTAAAACGTGTACAAGAAGTGGGAGCAAGTTTCATTGGCCCAAGCCCAAGTTTTGGGTGTCATTTGATTCAACTTTTGGAGGAAAAACCCTAAAAATTGTTGTTAAGGACAAGGGTCCTTAAATTAGGGAAAAGTTGCCCACTTGGTCATTAAATGGTTATGGCTTAATTTTAGCATGTGTGGGTGGACTTTTGTTTATGTATTTGAATGTAATATTTGAATGTTTTCATTATGTAATATTTGCTAGGGTAAATCCCTAATTTTTGTAAAGCCTATATAAAGGCCACTTGATCATTTGAAAGGACTTTGAATATTGAATGAATAGTGACTGTCTTGAGAAAGTGTTTTTCTCTTTTTCCTTTACCCAAGTTTGGCCAAACTTGGTGGTGGAGTACTTTCAAGCTGTGGAGTTTCCTTTAGCTTGATGAGTCCTTGGTCATCTCTTATGTAAGTTGTATTCCTTTAGTTTCAAGTAAACTCATTTCCGGAATTTGTTTTGCATGGTGTGTAGATTCCATTTGTTGTGCATTTGAACATAAAGATTTGGTGAATGACTGGAGCTTGTTATAAGGGGTTTTTTTTTAGTCATTTGATGGTTGTGAAAGTGCATGAAGGGGTAACCGAATGGTCATAAGGAGTTGAAAGAAAACCTAGCCTAGGTTGAATCAAAAGGGGTTGTTTTAGGGTAGTATTGAATTGAGGTTGTAGAAATTCATATCAATTGGTATCAGAGCTAAGGTTGAGGATGATTTGTGAAGATTGTGGTATTGATTGATAGAGAAAAGCATTTGAGAAGTGTTGAGTGTGTGTGTGTAGTTCGGCCAACCAAACCATTGTGCACTTTTCTCATTTTCTCTTTCATTGAACACTATTCAAAACACCACACTAACCACCCACTGACATC